TTCTCCACCTCAATAGACTTTTTTTCTTTCTCGCCAGCACTTTTTTCCGGTTCTCTTCAACTGGATTCTTGCGCCCTATCAATGCCAAGTTCCACTCTCACGTTTCCTCTCCAGTTATGCCTGCCGCAGACAATGCTTCTATTCGGCCTAGATTTACGTCAATCATAAACATATCAAGCTGGTCCCAACATGAAAAAATTCCGGAAAGTTCTCTCCCACCCCGTATCGTCGTCGACGAAGAACCGGGTCGTACGGGCGCCATCGTCGTTGCGCGCCGCCACCACTTAGCCACGATCCGTCATCGGCCACGATGCGGGTATATGTATGTGGATACGGTACGTGACGATGGGTGAGACTCGGCTCGACCGACGACGAGCGTAGGGAGAGTGCAGACATCGCGAACGATCATTACATTCGGGACAGGAGCGTAGTCGGCTGACAGATATACCGTATACTGTGCTGTGCTGTGATGGTGCTCTCAAACGAGCGGACGGTTGCCTGATCCGATGACGTTTTCCCCCGAAAACTGTTTTTCAACCGCTGCCAATTGGCAGTGAGAATGCGAAGCTTACAGGGAAATATGCAGTTAAAGGCGAGCGGAGGAAGAGAGTCACTGTTTGTGGGAAAAATAAACAGATCAGAGAATAATTTTAGAAAACCTTAATGAGAATTTGCTACATTTCTCTGCCTTAATCCACTCTTATCCCCAGAAACGCATTTAATGGAAAAAGTTATCTTAAATCCTATTTATGTCAACCACTCATTCATTTCTTGGAATGCACCTTTTTTAAACCCTCTCATAGCAACTGGAACGAATTATCTTATCATGTCCATCTCATATTCTTTAAGGAATGTTATAACTTATCGTATTTGGAAGAAATCTCCCATTCTTTAAAGTCTTTTTGTGCAAAATTTTTTGACAATACAATATGAGTGAGCTTGAATATTTTAAAAAATGATCTATTTTAAAATTGTTTATGAAGCTCCTTCTGCAAGATTTGTTTAAAGCCTTAAAAGGTCAACTTTTTTTTTCAGATCCAAGGAATGTCCGCTCAGGATTACGCGGCATCCGTGCAGCCCTCTTACTCGACCAATGCAAACGCTTACAACGCCTATCAATGGCCAACTGCCATAAATAGCATAAACACCCTGAACACACTTGGAACCTACAATCCTTACAATAATTACACCACCACTACGACTCCAATGAACTCAGCCTATTCGGGTTTTCGAGTTAGCGGTGGTATCTCGCCTATCGGTGAGTTGAAAGCTCAGTTCGATGCTGTTGCTTGGGAAGCATCGCGGATTTTTCCTGTAGGTGGAAATCGAAGTGCCTCAGGTGGCAGTACTGGCACAACCTTATCGGGTACTTCTGCCTCAACAGCATCGCCGTCACGAGGCTCGTCATGTGGTGGTGGTGATCAACAATTGACTAGTTCTGAATTGGTAAGTAGAAGTTCAAGTTTGTTCTCCGCAAAGAACTCTATTACGGTAACTATAATTGTCAAGTGATTGTGACTTTTATAGGCACGAATACGTCGTACGGGAAACTACGGTTGTGCAAAACCACCGTATTCGTACATATCCCTAATTACAATGGCTATTCAACATTCAGCCAATCATAAGATGACGTTGTCGGAAATCTATAATTGGATTATGGATTTATTCCCATACTACAGGCAGAACCAGCAAAGGTCAGGCCGAGGGTTAGCGACTTCCGTTTTTCATTCGCTTGATCCCCTCGAGGAGTTTTATCACTATCTTCTTTTCAATTA